TACACATTACAGATTACACATTACAGATTACACATTACACATTACACATTACACATTACACATTACACATTACACATTACACATTACACATTACAGATTACAGATTACACATTACACATTACAGATTACACATTACAGATTACACATTACACATTACACATTACAGATTACACATTACAGATTACACATTACAGATTACACATTACATTACAGATTACAGATTACAGATTACAGATTACACATTACAGATTACACATTACAGATTACACATTACACATTACAGATTACAGATTACACATTACAGATTACAGATTACACATTACAGATTACACATTACACATTACACAGTTACACATTTACACATTACAGATTGATTTACGATTACACATACATTACACATTACAGATTACACACATTACACATTACAGATTACACATTACAGATTACACCACATTAGATTTTAGTTACACATGGTTTTAGTCCTGGTTTTAGTTCCTGTTTAGACCTGGTTTAGTCCTGGTTTAGTTCCTGGGTTTAGTTAGACCTGGTTTAGTCCTGGTTTAGTCCTGTTTAGTCCTTTTAGAGTCCTGGTTTAGTTCTGGTTTAGTTCTGGTTTAGTCCTGGTTTAGACCTTAGTTCTGTTTAGTTTTAGTTCTGGTTTAGTTAGTTTCTGGTTTTAGTCCTGGTTTTAGTTCTGGTTAGTTTCTGGTTTAGTCCTGGTTTAGTCTAGTTCTGGGTTTAGACCTGGTTTAGTCCTGGTTTAGACCTGGTTTAGTCCTGGTCTAGTTCTGGGTTTAGACCTGGTTTAGGCCTGGTTTAGTCCTGGCTTTAGTCCTGGTTTTAGTCCTTGTTTAGTCCTTGTTTAGTCCTGGTTTAGACCTGGTTTAGACCTGGTTTAGTCCTGGTTTAGACCTGGTTTAGTCCTGGTTTAGTCCCTGGTTTAGTCCTGGTTTAGACCTCCCCTGGTTTTAGTTTACCTGGTTTTAGACCTGGTTTAGACCTGGTTTAGACCTGGTTTTTAGACCTGGTTTAGACCTGGTTTAGACCTGGTTTAGACCTGGTTTAGACCTGGTTTAGACCTAGTCCTGGTTTAGACCTGGTTTAGTCCTGGTTTAGACCTGGTTTAGACCTCCCTGGTTTAGACCTCCTGGTTTAGACCTAGTTTAGTTTTTAGACCTGGTTTAGTCCTGGTTTAGACCTGGTTTAGACCTGGTTTTAGACCTGGTTTAGACCTTTAGTGGTTTTAGACCTGGTTTAGTCCTGGTTAGACCTGGTTTAGACCTGGTTTAGACCTGGTTTAGACCTGGTTTAGTCCTGGTTTAGACCCTGGTTTAGTCCTGGTTTAGACCTGGTTTAGAGACCTGGTTTAGACCTGGTTTAGACCTGGTTTAGACCTGGTTTAGTGGTTTAGTCCTAGTGTTTAGTCCTGGTTTAGACCTGGTTAGACCTCCTGGTTTAGACCTGGTTTAGTGGTTTAGACCTGGTTTAGTGGTTTAGACCTGTTTTAGACCTGGTTTAGAGACCTGGTTTAGACCTGGTTTAGACCTAGACCTGAGTGTAATCCTGGTTTAGTACTCTGATTACTCTGATTTAGAACCTGGTTTAGACCTGTTTAGTCCCTGATTATGAGTCTTCCCACAATATGGCAGCGTGAGGTTCGTACCGTGAAAGTGTAAACATGACAAAACAAAAGTGAAAATGAAGTGCAAGTCTGAACAACCAACTGCTGCGTCATCAGACCAACTCTTCTTAAAGTCAGTAAAATAACAAAATTATACCTTTTCAGTAGTAAAGAGTAAAAACTATTAAAATGAACCAGCAGCATGTGATGGGACAAAAAACTCAAGTCAATGAAAGAATTACAAGTTTCTTTGCTTAAATTGTCTGTTTTGGTGCAAAAACAGCTAAAAAGCAAAGAGAACTACATAGACCATGATGCTTTGCTCTGTTTCAGTCCAATCTAAATGCTGAAATAAGGTTAGGAAGAACTTTTAAATCACGCTTAACTTTGTCAGTTCAGATTTCAGGGTTTTTGTTGATTCTTTTTTAATGTGAACTTTGACCTGAATCCTGTCGTACGACGGAGTTTAAGGGTCAGATTAAAAAAAACAAAAAAACATGCTGGCCTTACGAGAATAAAGTCGTTACATTTCGACATTACAGTTGTAATATTATGAGAATAAAGTTATAATATCACGAGAATGAAGTCGTAATAAAATCAAAGTCAAAGTGAAAAACGCGGCAGAAGAAGAACTTTGTTTTTCAATATAAAACCAAAAATAAGAAAACGAAAAAAAACAACAATAATTTCTTCATTATTTGCACCTCCGGACTGAACCAGAACTGAACCAGGACTAAACAAAGTCCAAGACCAGATCGGGACTGAGACCAGGACTTAGACAAGGACTGAGTCCGGGACCAAGACTGAGACCAGGATCAGACAAGAACTGAGACCAGGATTGAGACCAGGAACAGGACCAGGACTGAGACTGGGACTGAGACCGGGACCAGACCAGGACTGAAAACGGTTCAGTCCTGGTTCAGTCCTGGTTCAGTCCTGGTTCGTCCTGGTTCAGTCCTGGTTCAGTCCGTATGCGGCGCAATATTCCCTCATCGCATTTTAATGTGACGGAAACGCCGTTTCCCATTTCCGTCACTTAAACCAGGACTGAACCGTTTTCAGTCCTGGTCTGGTCCTGGTCTCAATCCTGGTCTTTCTGGTTTGGTTCCAGACCTGGTTCAGTCCTGGTTCAGTCCTGGTTCAGTCGATTGAACGAATGATACACAGATTCTTCTCCTTTACAAAATGCTCCATATTCTCCATTCTCCACGAGCAGCCGATTTTCTCCTAATATTACCACTTTATTTTCTTAAGTTTATGACTTTATTCTCGTAAAAGTACGACTTTTTCTGGCTTCGACTTTATTCTCATAATATTACAACTTTAATGTCCAAATGTTACGACTTTATTCTCGTAGTGCCAGCATGTTTTTTAATCTGACCCTTATACTCCGTCGTACTGTCGTTAAAACACAAATAGAATCACAATGTCAGATTGTAAAAACGTGAAAAACAGAAGTAGCTGTAAACGTTTTAAAAAGGTTGCAGTGGTGCAAAGTTCTTCTGTCTTACCTTACGCAATCAGAACATCCTGATTATTCACCGCAATGAGTTTATAAGCACTTTTCCAAACTTTCACGGACCACAGCTGACCACTAGCATGCCAACAGTGCAATTCCTGATTCTCTGACAATAAAACATAATGCAGACGGTTCACAGTGGACTTATTTTGAAACGTTTATACAATAAATCTGAACTGGATTAAGATGTTTTAAACAAATACATGAAAAAACATTTAGTAGCACTTTTAGTTTCACTTTCACTTTCAGTTTCACTTTTAATTTGTTTTGTTTTGTTTTGTTTTTCTGTTACAGACACGGAGAAGACATGATCGTGACGCCGTTCGCTCAGGTCAGTCACGGAACGCACCAACCTGGAAAATGTTTTAAAACAATGAAAATAAATAAAATAACATAAATAACACAATGAAATCTCTTGATAAACGTTGTTTCTGTGGTGACAGTAGTTTTCTGTGTGGCTCGTGTAGGTTCTGGCCAGTCTTCGCACGGTCAGGAGTAACTTCGCGGCGTTGACACATCTCCAGGACCGAGTGGGAAACAAGTAAAAAAAACATTTTATAATTAAAAATAAAACATTGAAAGAAAAAAGTCACACGATCAGAGCTGTTTTCTGTAATTTTTTGAGTGTGATTAAAGTGAAATGTGTTTGTTTGGTGCAGGAGAGCTCCCTGCAGCAGCCAACCGCCTCTGTGCAAACCCTGCCTCTCAGGTCCGTCTCTGTGGGTTTGGGGTTTAAAAAACACACAAAAACACACACACAATCTAACAAAGAGACAAAAACACGCACATAAACCAGTCCAGAGTTGAAAAACACGCACACAAACCAACACAGAGACAAAAAACACACAAAATCAAACAAATCTGTGTCACTGAATCTAAAAACAAGTGAAATGTTTCAGGGAAAACTCTGGTAAATGAGTTGTGGCTTCTTCTTTTAAACATTTATTGTCTAAATTTAAGATTTTCTCTTGAGTTGAATCATGGAACAAATAAATGTGACAATTTTTGGGATTACAGAACCAATTCAGAACAAATAAGTAAATAATAAATCTGAAAATAAGATGAAGAACCTGATATAAGTTTTAAAATCTTGGCCACATCAGAGAAATTTAGGTGGTAGAAACAGACGAGTTTCATTGTTGACAAAAGTGCGAGTTTCATGCTGGGAATTATTTTGGTCAGCGGCAAGAAACACTAATTCAACATGACGGACGGAGCGAGAAAACACGTAAAGCACAGGTGTCAAACATGCGGCCCGGGGGCTGGATCCGGCCCTCCAAGTCCTTTAATCTGGCCCTCGGCTGATTTTCTACTAAAATATTTTAATGATATTTTCTATTAAAATCTTGTTAATTTTCTGTGGTGTTTATCACAGCAGCGTCTCCAGCGTCTCTGTACGTGGCCCCTCCCACCAGAGCAGCACAAATGAAGACTTGTCTCTTTCCAAACGCTCTTAAAGGACGATCGTTTTGACTGTTGACCGTGACACCCTCATCAGAAAAATGTCCAACATGAGAAAAGTGGAGCCGAGTGCAGGATTTTACAACAAAAATGGACTTATTCCTGTTTACAGACAAGTTCATGTTCAAACTTTGTGTTGAAATTGTATTTTTCTTAAAGTTTCAGGTTGTTCATAATATTATAATATTTTGTAAAAGAAAGAGTTCATCAATTAAAAAAGATTTCTGTAATAGATTTGTGTTTCTCTGCACAAATATTTGAACTTATTGTTATTTTTGGGGTTTATATGACATGAGTTTTCTGATCCGGACACTTTGGATCAAAATCGGTTGGACACGACGCCCGGAACAAAATGAGTTTGACACTCCTGACGTAAAGGGTATTGATCCCGGTTATTTCTCCAGTCTAACGGCAGACGACCCAAGACCATTTGACCAGAAATTGGTCATAAGCATCGACAGACGACAAATCACCCTTTTCAACCCCGACAGAGTCTGGACCAAACCAAACTTCTGGTCAGAATCTCCAACTCCCTGGACAAATATTCACTTGGGCGACATCCACAATGACTTGGTGAAACTCCTGGGCCATTCACAGCAGAAAAGATGAAAACCTCCAAGAGTCTGGATGTGTTGTTGAACTTGTTGAGTCCACGGTTTGTTAGGATCTTCTACGTTTGCTCTGCGGATGTTTGAAAGTCGTTTAATTCACCGTTAGTGGTTCTTTTCACTCAGAATACGACAAAGACATTTTCCTTCTTCCGTGTTTCTATTTGTGCATCTGATAATGCAGCAGGAATTTACCATTATCAAGGATAAATACGCGAGGTTACACACTGTGTTTGACGCTACTGTGTTTCTTGCCTCCGACCAAAATATTTCCCAGCAGCAACGCGGGTTTTTAATAACAATGACGTCAGCTCAAACTCGCCTGTAGAAGGTAGAAGTTTGTGGTTTGTTCATAAACTTTTAGTAAGAATTTCACTCAGTTTTATAAATGAGAGTCCTGATCTAGTCCAGACCAGATTTATTTCCGGGTTTAGTCCCAGTTTAGTGTCAGTGTTGATGTTTTAAATGTGTTCATCCAGAGTTTTTGTTTGTTTTTGCCCTTGATCAGATGTTTCATTTTGATGTAATTTCAGCCGTTTCCTCTCTGGACTTCATCAAATAGTTCAAATAGTAAAATTCCTCAGTCGTCCAGGTAGAATCTATGGCAAAGGAGAAATTCAATTTGTAAACTTGACAAAAAGTTTCCAGAATGTTTCTCAGCTCATCCAAACTGCTTCTTCAGTCCTGCTCAGTGCAGTGATCGCCCCCTTCAGGCAGATACAAGGAAGTGTCACCAGTGTCTGAGCAGAACTGAAACTTGGATGAACTGAGAAACATTTTCAATCAAAATAAACTTTTGTCCAGTTAATGAAAACATTCAGATTCTGCAACAAACAGCAACAAAAACACATTTTGAAAGAGATTTTTATAACTTTTATTGCATGTTGTGTTTATTGTTCTACTGAATGAGTGAGTGTGTGTTTATTTTTTCTTGGATCATTTTCACATTTATCCATTAAAAAAGTTGTGTTTTTGTTTGTTCAGAGGAGCCGTGTCAGAAGTTGGCCATGGAGACTCTGGAGGAGCTGGACTGGTGCTTAGACCAACTGGAGACGCTACAGACCAGACACTCTGTCAGCGAGATGGCCTCCAACAAGGTACTCACATCAACAGGGTACTCACTCAAACTCTTTCACTCTAACAGGGTACTCACTCTAACTCTTTCACTCTAACAGGGTACTCACAACAGCAGGGTACTCACTATCACGGGATACTCACATTAACCCGGTTCATAATAAAGACCAGTCCTCACAACAAAAGGGTCATAGTTGTAGTTGGAGGTCGGGGCCTGTGCGTCTCTGACAAAGAAAGAAATGTCCAAACTTCTGATCCACTTTTTGAAGCTTTTATGAAAATCATTCATTTATTTCTTCTGAAAGAAAAGAGGCTGAACTTTGCTCTAGTTTTTGTTTCATGTTACAGAAAACCAGAACCAGACAACAAATGTGCAGAAACTCTCATCTGTCATCTTTTTCTTTTTAAATTATATTATTATTTCATGAGAATTTATTAGATTGGGTCAGGTCCAAACCAGGTCCAAACTTGGTTTAAACTAGGTCTAAATCAGGTCCAAACGTGGTCCAAACCAGGTCCAAACTTGGTCTAAACCAGGTCTAAACTAGATCTAAACCAGGTCTAAACCAGGTCTAAACTTGGTCTAAACCAGGTCTAAACCAGGTCTAAACTTGGTCTAAACCAGGTCTAAACCAGGTCTAAACTTGGTCTAAACCAGGTCTAAACTTGGTCTAAACCAGGTCTAAACCAGGTCTAAACTTGGTCTAAACCAGGTCTAAACCAGGTCCAAATTTGGTCTAAACCAGGTCTAAACTTGGTCTAAACCAGGTCTAAACCAGGTCTAAACTTGGTCTAAACCAGGTCTAAACTTGGTCTAAACCAGGTCTAAACTTGGTCTAAACCAGGTCTAAACCAGGTCTAAACTTGGTCTAAACCAGGTCTAAACCAGGTCTAAACTTGGTCTAAACCAGGTCTAAACCAGGTCTAAACTTGGTCTAAACTAGATCTAAACCAGGTCCAAACTTGGTCTAAATTAGGTCTAAACCAGGTCCAAATTTGGTCTAAACCAGGTCCAAATTTGGTCTAAACCAGGTCTAAATCAGGTCTAAACCAGGTCTAAATGTTGTCCAAACCAGGACTAAACCAAATTTTAAACTAAATTATAATATTATTTCTTGATAATTTATTAGATTTTTATTTATTTTTTTAATCTTTCCTCTTCTTTCCTTCACATTTCCACCTTGAGTCTTGAGTTTTGTGTTTTCCTCGTGTGAAAATCGAGCTCCCGACACTGAAAGAGTTAAACCTGCTCTGTCCCGCCCCTCTGCCTCCTCTCGGCCAATCACGGCGCAGTCTCCGCTCCAGCCCCCGTCACGCTGCGAGCTGATTGGCCGCAGAGGAGACACACACACACACACACACACACACACAGACCGGGTCGGGTCGGGGGGGGGCGGCGTTCCCTCACAGAATTCCAATGTGTGTTATTCCGGCCGTTGTGCTCCGACTCCACGAGCACGCGTCTGTTTCTGTCTCTTCTGACGGGATTTAGACATTTATAGTGTTTTTTTTTTTTTTTTCCTCTGAGTTTTAAAAGTGTTGCCATGGTTACGTCACTATGCCTCATCTGGCCTTTTGGGCGCCTTTCCGGATCCGACAGGTGAGTGTTTCTCGGAGCGTGAGGGAAAGGTGAGGGACAGAAAACCGGAAATAAACCTGCAGTTTGTGGAGCTGGAACTGGGACCTAACCAGGTCTAAACCAGATCCAAACATGGTCTAAACCAGATCCAAACATGGTCTAAACCAGGTCTAAAAAAAAAGGTCTAAACCAGGGCCAAAACAGATCTAAATTAGGTCTAAACAAGGTTAAAATTTGGTCTAAACCAGGTCCAAATGTGGTCTAAATTAGGCCTAAACTTTGTCTAAGCCAAGTCCAAACTAGGTCCAAACTAGGTTTAAACCAGGTCCAAAGTTGGTCTAAACCATTTCTAAATCAAGTCCAAACCAGGTCCAAAGTTGGTCTAAACCAGGTCTAAACCAGGTCTAAATCAGGTCCAAAATTGGTCTAAACCAGGTCTAAACCAGGTCCAAATTTGGTCTAAACCAGGTCTAAATTGGGTCCAAACCAGATCTTAATCAGGTCTAAACCAGGTCCAAAACAGGTCTAAACTAGGTCCAAAGTTGGTCCAAACCATGTCTAAACCAGGTCTAAACCAGGTCTAAACCAGGTCTAAACCAGGTCTAAACCAGGCTCAAATGTGGTCTAAACTTGATCTGAACCAGGTCTAAGTTAGGTCCAAATCAGGTCTAAACTTGGTCTAAACGGGACTTAGAAAAATGGAATCAAAATTGCAGGAGCTGAAATTGTTCAGTTATAACAATTGTTTATAATGTCTCCCGTGTGTGTCAGGGGCCCTCGTGTGTGTCAGGGGCCCTCCCGTGTGTGTGTGTCAGGGGCCCTCCTTGTGTGTGTCAGGTGCCCTCGTGTGTGTCGGGGCCCTCGTGTGTGTGTCAGGGCCCTCGTGTGTGTCAGGTGCCCTCCCGTGTGTGTGTGTCAGGGGCCCTCGTGTGTGTCAGGTGCCCTCCCCGTGTGTGTGTCAGGGGCCCTCGTGTGTGTCAGGTGCCCTCCCATGTGTGTCAGGTGCCCTCGTGTGTGTCAGGTGCCCTCGTGTGTGTCAGGTGTGTGTGTCAGGTGCCCTCGTGTGTGTCAGGTGCTCTCGTGTGTGTCAGGGGCCCTCGTGTGTGTCAGGTGCCCTCCCGTGTGTGTGTGTCAGGGGCCCTGGTGTGTGTCAGGTGCCCTCTCGTGTGTGTCAGGGGCCCTGGTGTGTGTCAGGTGCCCTCGTGTGTGTCAGGTGCCCTCGTGTGTGTCAGTGTGGTGCCCTCAGTGTGTGTGTGTCAGGTGCCTGTGTGTGTCAGGTGCCCTCGTGTGTGTCAGGGGTGCCCTGGTGTGTGTCAGGTGCCCTCCCGCATGTGTGTCAGGTGCCCTCATGTGTGTCAGGTGCCTCTCCGTGTGTGTTGTGTCAGGTACCCTTGTGTGTGTCAGGTGTGTGTCCCTCGTGTGTGTCAGGTGCCCTCCGTGTGTGTCAGGTGCCTCCTGTGTGTGTCAGGGGCCTCGTGTGTGTCAGTGTGCCCTCCCGTGTGTGTGTGTCAGGTGCCCTCGGTGTGTGTCAGGTGCCCTCGTGTGTGTCAGGGTGCCCTCGTGTGTGTCAGGTGCCCTCCCCGTGTGTGTCAGGGGCCTCGTGTGTGTCAGGTGCCCTCCCCATGTGTGTCAGGTGCCCTCGTGTGCGTCAGGTGCCCTCGTGTGTGTCAGGTGCCCTCGTGTGTGTCAGTGTGTGTCAGGTGCTCTCGTGTGTGTTCAGGTGCCTCGTGTGTGTCAGGTGCCCCGTGTGTGTGTGTCAGGTGCCCTCCGTGTGTGTCAGTGTCCTCCGTGTGTGTGTGTCAGGTGCCTCTGTGTGTGTCAGGTGCCCTCGTGTGTGTCAGTGTGTGTGTGTCAGGGCCCTCGTGTGCTAGGTGTGTGTGTGTCAGGTGCCCTCCCTGTGTGTGTGTGTGTCAGGTGCCCTCGTGTGTGTTCAGGTGCCCTCGTGTGTGTGTGTGTGTCAGGTCCAGTGTGTGTCAGGTGCCCTCGTGTGTGTCAGGTGCCTCCTCCGTGTGTGTGTCAGTGTGTGTCAGGTGCCCTCAGTGTGTGTCAGGTGCCCTCCTCGTGTGTGTCAGGTGCCCTCCCGTGTGTCAGTGCCCTCAGTGTGTCAGGTGCCCTCGTGTGTGTCAGGTGCCCTCTCGTGTGTGTCGTGTGTGTCAGGGGTGTGTGTCAGGGCCTCGTGTGTGTCAGGTGCCTCCCGTGTGTGTCAGGGGCCCTCGTGTGTGTGTCAGGTGCAGGCCCTCGTGTGTGTGTCAGGGGCCCTCGTGTGTGTCAGGGGCCCTCGTGTGTGTGTCAGGTGCCCTCGTGTGTGTGTCGGGGCCCTCGTGTGTGTGTCAGGTGCCCTCTCGTGTGTGTCAGGGGCCCTGGTGTGTGTCAGGGGCCCTCGTGCGTCTCCATGTTTGTGTTTATTTTGCGTTCGGTCTTTAAAATAACTCGGTCACACTTCGGTTTATCATCCAGAGCCCAGATTATTTTTAGACGCAGTTATGGAAAGAACGAAGATAAGACTCGAGCTTCAGATGTCTGCGGGAAAAAGGTTACACAAACACACCTCAGGTCGTCTCCAAACACCTCAGGTCATCTCCACCGTGGACTACAGACCACAAACTCACCTCAGGTCACTCACCATCAGGTCACCTCCAGAGTCATCTCAGGTCATCTCCACCGTGGACTACAGAACCACAAACTCACCTCAGGTCATCTCCAGACAACTCAGGTCATCT